AGCACTGTATGCTCAGTGCTTGTCCGAGAGCTTGCAAAAAAACCTCACGAGCTTACTCGGGTGGGACTCGAACCCACGACCTCCTGCTTACTAGAGCAGATGTCTTAACCACTTGACCACCGAGCTTGCCGGGGTCGGCTGGCCGGTCTGAATCAAATGAAGCAGCGGGTACCACAAACTATTTCGCGGTAGTTCGCATAACAGAACTTGGACCACGCCTACTGGTATCTCAACTAACCGTCGTTAGGCCTGGTGGTAGACCTACTAGTAGGCCAAGGGCCTATCGCCGCTGACGTCTGTTGGTGGCAACACATCCATCACAGGCACTCTGTCATGAGTGTTGAGTAAACTGTTCGCAGTCTCCTCGGTTATCGTGACAAAATCGTCTTTTTATTGATAACTCTCCAAAAGTAACGAGCTATGACTTCTTTGACATACTGGAGTAGAAGTTGGATTTACGCGCGCTGTCATAGTGTCAGCAATTGCCGCACTCAACGTTTGCTTTTACTTAGTTCGTTTCTTTTGTCCTTTGATCGTTTAGCTCTTTCCTTTGATCGTTTAGTTTTAACCTTTGACCGTTTAGTTTTTGTCCTTCGATCGTTTAGTTTTGTCCTTTGACCGTTTATTTTGGTCTTTAGATCCTTTGGTTTTGTTCTTTGATCGTTTAGTTTTGTGTTTTTATTATTCATTTCTGTCCTTTCATAGTATTTTTTTGGTCCTTTGATCTTTTCCTTTCTTCTGATCGTTTTAGGTTTTCATCATTTATTTCGCAGATGCTGTTCGCAAAGCAGGATTTAGAGCTCTGCTTCATTTTTCTGATATTCGTTTTTTACTTACCTTTTTTTACTTTCTCGATTTTCATTGCTTATGCAATTTCTTTAAATTGTTTTTAGTTGTGTTTGTGGTTTGGAACGTTGGCTTTGTAAAATGTTAATCTTAGTCTGATGGCGCCCCATACTACCATGCCAGTCGGCCAGAAGTGCAATTTAATTGCATCTTACACTTAACTGTTTGTGTACCCCATTTATGATAATTTCCCACAACCTTCTTATGAAGAATACGCATGCGCAATTCGTACTTTTGACTCAACCGCTACGGAAAAAAAAACATCGCCAGCTGCACGCTCTACTGAACACATAAGGAACAGCCATCTTATTTCCCAGATCTGAAGCTCTTCCCTTAAAAAGTTTATGCTGTTTATGTATAGTGGGTCACGCAAGAGGCAACACTCGAGGCATTATGCATTGTTCTCTACACACTATAGACGAGCATTCCTTTAGCCATGTCATCCTATTATTGTCGTTTGTAACGGCCCTGACGTGAAGACATGAAGCACAGACACAAACAAAAGTAATGACGCCATTCCAAACAAGTATTGAAACGAAATGGCGTCCAAAACTACGCGATTTTTTTTTTTGGAAAATGTGCTTTTTGATTGACTGTGCCGCCTCAGGATGCCAAAGCTCTGCTCCAGTTTTTTGTATTTCAAAAGTTAAATTAGTGAACGCCACATGGTGGCAAATTTAATCTGCCAAATGAGTGTCGACCAAACGACATAATGACATCACACTTTATTTACATGTTCGCTTTCCTGGGGGGGGGCAGGGATTGTGTCCCACCTCAGAGCCACAGGAAAACACACGTGTGAAACAACTCAAGTTAACTTCATCGCAAGTCTATTCAGCAGGCAGTATGACATGGTGTCTGTTCTCCGGCAGGTACAACCTGGGCCCAGGAGATTATGTCCTGCGTGATGTATGACGGGAACATCGAGGAAGTCAACAAGAAACACACGGCATTCCGTGTCCTCTTCCTGGAGATGGACCTTCCAGAGTTTATCAGAAAAACAAAAAATGTAGGCAGTGCCATGACCAATGTATCCTCTAAGAAGTAGAATAAACTGTAACGCCCAAAACAAAACAAATCAAGGCCCACTCTTTCCATGTACACGTGTATTTCTTCGCTCCACGAAAGCTAAAACTGAACTCGTCGATAAGAGTTTACTGTTTGTATTTGAAGTGTGCATGTCAATCTGACACAGAATAAATTACCAGAATAAAGATCCAGGACCCCTTCTTACAAGGCAATTTAATGATATACAACGTTTTCTTGTAGATCACATTGTATATGTCACATATGTCCTGATAATACTTGCTGAGCGTTTAAATATATCCCTTTTGGTAAAACAAAACCCAGTGGCTTTTTGCTAACATAAGTAAGGGCGGATGAGGAGGGGAAGTAGGACACCAAGAAAGAGCCAATTGTTTGGAATACAATGGAAGAAGGGCAATGTTTGGTCTGTTTCTTGTCCCTTTAATCAAAAAGTGTATAATTTGTAACAAAATGTAGCTTCACCCGCCACAATGGCCTTAAAATCTTTCGTGGAAATAGTTCCAAATTTTGTGGCCCCGAAAAACCAGTACCCCACCGCCTATTTACTTTTAGATCTTTCCTTGCGTGTTACGTGTTTGAAACTGTTTGCAACTAAACAAATCGAAGTAACCATTGGATAGGCAAATTTCATTCAGAAGCAAAACAAGATGCTGATGGATGAATGAGAGCTATATTCAATATTCACAGTGGTATGATCGAAGGACATTAATTGCAGGCTCGCTGTTAAAAGAGTGGTAGCCGTGTATCCAGGTGCTGGCTCGGGTATTAAGGCCAGACAAATTGGAATTTCTGGCCCAAACCAACATCTTTTTTCACCCAAGAAGTTGGTAATACCGTTTCAAAAAGGCCTGCAGTGCGTGCGATTGGATCCAGATGTTGACGTAAGTGTTCAACGTCATTTGTAACAACCGAAAGACATGTTTTTTCCTACCCACAGCTGCCAGCTTGTCATGAAATCGCCGAGGAGATACCTTCCCCACGGGTCCTCAAAACCCACCTGCCTGGCCAGTTCCTGCCGCCTCAGATGTGGGAGAGGCGCCCCAAGATCGTCTATGTCATGCGCAATCCTAAGGACCTGACCGTGTCCTACTTTTACTTCATGAAAATGGTCAACCCGTCACAGGACTCGCTAAATGAAACATTCGAGGAGTTCCTAAATAAAATGCTAACCGGAGATGGTAAGATTTGTTGTTTTTTATTTCATTTTACTGTTTTGTGTGTTTTGTTTGTTAAGAGTTTGTTTATTGTTCGTTCGCTCGTTTTGTTTTGTTTGTTTTGTTTGTTGGGTTGGTTGGTTGGTTGGTTGGTTGGTTGGTGGCAATTCTCGGCAGAGGCAAGCGGGGACCACCATTTTGAAAAGCCAAAAGGAAAAAAGACAAAAAGATAAAAAAAGATAAAAATCCAGTACAGAAACTTAAACAAAAGCACTGATCAAAACAAATCAAAATCAGCACAAAACGACCGAATGTAACAAACAACCATGCACGCTGACATGTACAACACAGGCATAAATTCAATACAACTATATCGGGCTCTCTTTTTCAATATCACATACTTTTTGCCAAACATTGGCTGGTAAACTGTGGTCTTCAACATCCAAGTGAAAAAATAATTCACAAAGTATTGAAACATCTAACGCAGTTATTAAAAAACTTAGATAATCAACACGACACTATTAAATGCTAAATGAAAATGTTGCCCACTTCATGTAACCGAACACATGCATGCATGTAGGGGCAAAATCTGACATGCAGCATTCCAGGGACGCCATTTCTGCAAACCCGATCCTTCGTCTTGAGAATAATCTTAATTTTGATTAAGACAGTCTGCTTCCAGGCAAGCCATATTTACAAATAATCCCCAAATAATTTGTTCGCATATCTGTTGAAGCGCTCTCTCGCTAAAGCTGCATTGAATTTTTTCTCTCATTTTGCATCTCCCAGTTTCTTACGGACCGTGGTGGGATCATTATTTGTTCTTCTGGGAAAAACGCAACGACCCAAACATTCTCGTGCTGAAGTATGAAGACATGAAGCAGGTGAGTGATTGACCATGGAATTAAAGTGATTGGGCAGAGGAGGGCACCTTAAAGAGAAGTCCAGATGTGTCAAACGCAAACAGTTACAAAAGAAGACGGTGCCAAAATACCTCGCAAGCACCTTGGAGAAAGGCCATAACAAGTCCAAGATGAACGACAATAGTTTTCGTTTAAGTGTCGGTGTTACAAGTGTCGGCGTATGGTGTCTGTTGCTCCATTTGTGCGGCAAATGCACAACGGACAGCCGAATATAAAAATTCAATTCTTTGTAGATGAATTCTCACGTTTCGGGGGCATATTTTTTTGCCCCATCTCTTCCAACAGTGGGCTAGTTGTATTCCGTCAAGGAACTGGAAGACCGTCAAGTCGACCCCTGATATTTAGTTTCTGCTGTCTCAAAAAAACTACTAATGACGTAATTTATGACATGTTCTGTAAAAATAGAATGCTTCAGGGCACCTGGCAGACATCTGTTGGAACTGTTGAAAAAAATGGCAGTGGTAAGATCAGAATATTAATTCAATCACAGCAAAATGTTTTTATGTAAGAAATTGGGTTCCCAACTTAAAAGGCTTTCTGTCTCCGATCTTCTTCCACGTGATACGCTACCGTTGACAAATGCTAAGTGATTGATTCTCAATATGTGTTTTAAATTTTATAATATAAACAATAGTTTCACCACTGTATGCTTTTTCTTTATCTGCGATGTAGGACCTGAGAGGTAACGTCGAGAGGGTCAGCAAGTTCTTGGGCAAGAATCTATCAGCCGAGACATTGGATGCCATTACAGACCACTGCAGTTTTGCAAACATGAAGAAAAACCCAATGGCCAACCTGGGCACCATGCTCGGTCATGATGAATCCCAAGGCGTCTTTATGAGGAAAGGTAAATAGCTGAACCAGCGGTTAATTCGTGTTTTCCCAGTTATTTTAAAACGTCTCTCATTCCAATTCACCCCATGACATTTTCAATTTAGTCTCAGAAAAAAAAACACCCTTGCCAAAAACAAATTCGTCTTTAAATTTCAAAAGTTGGTCAACGGGTTTCAAGATAATGTCCAGAATATTAATCATTACCGTTCAAATTCATATAAAGGGTCGCAGAGTGGCAGCATTCATAGTTAACCAAAGCGATCTCCACTGCTATACGTTGCTTAGTGTTGGTGATGAACTGTTCGCTTAATCCTTTCCACAAGTCAAAAGCTAAAACACAAAGGCTAAGAGGATCGAGGAGCCGAGGTTTAAAAAACACCATTCAACGAAATAAGGGCGGATAAGACTTGAAGCTACTGAATTAGGTTAGGCTTGCGGTTGCACTATGTAGAAGGAAAATTTTTTTAATGATGTACTATTTACGACACACATTTCTCTCCCTCTCCAACCTCCCTCCAGGCGATGCAACTACACGACGCGACGACACGACGGTTCTCTTGCGTCATGCCGTCCGGCCGCACTGTCGCCTTCTTTCCATTGCGTTTGTACACAAACGTCGCGTCGTGCGTCGTGTGCGTCGCGTCGTACTTCAGGCGACGTAATAGACGATGCAATGCACGACACGACGAACGACGCGAAGCACGTTGGTACGACACGACGGGCGACGGAAGGGGCGACGTTTAGGCGGGAAAAATGCAACTAAGAAAGGACCTAATACAGCACGACGCGTCGGCACGACCCGACTCACGACCCGACGCGTCGTGTGTGTACAAATGTAATGGCAAGAAGGCGACAGTGCGACCCAACGGCACGACGTTAGGGAGCCATAATGCTGTCGCGTCGTGTATTTGCGTCGCATGAAGGGAGGCTAAAGAGAGAGAAATGTTTGTCATAAATAATACACCCTAGCTTGTACAATCGCGTCAGAGTCGCGTGAAGCTTTTGAAATATTATCCATTCGTATGATATACATGGTAGAAGAACTACGCAATATGCCCCAAAATACTGGCAACATATTATAGAGCAGGCTTGGCGGTAACTTCCTAAACACGTGGTCAAAATTACGGCCGTACAATTGTAGACAAATTGTCTGGAGAACTGGGAGTACTACTTAGAAATTACCGGGATGGACCACGGAGAAATACCGGTATCTATAAGGTTACAAATCTACCACAAATGGGAACTGCATCGACGGTATTGAAAAGAAATCATGGGCTGGGTAAATAGAGTGACGAATTCTGGGCTTCCACTGAGACAGCGGTTCCTACATAAACGGATTTTGTTTTTGCTCAAAAGAAATAATTAAACCTAATGGTTAAATGGATGGGATAAAATCAAGAAAAAAACAGCACCAAAGAGCGATTAGCAGGTACTTTCCAAGCACGGGGGACGGAAATTAAAGATAACAGTAAAGGCGCCCCTTATAAATACCATGAAGCAAAGGGCGACAGCACACGACGTGTCGCGTCGTGCATCGGGACGTGCGTCGCGTCGTGCTTCAGGCGACGTAGTAGGTGACGCGACGCGCGACGGAAGGGGCGACGTTTAGGCGGAAAAAATGTAACAAGGAAAGGATCTAAAACAGCAGGACGCGCGACTGCACGACGTGTGTGTACAAACGTAATGGCGAGAAGGCGACGGTGCGACCCGACGCAAGGGAGGCATCGTGTGTCGCCTTGGAAGAGGCTAGAGAGAGGCAGAAATGTGTGTTGTAAATAGTACACCATATATATTTATGAGTTTGTGGCTTAGAGAAAAACCGATGCTGGGCTCTCGACGTTCGAAACACTACACTCAGTTCGTCTTCAAGTGGGTGACTGGTTGCCTGATGATGCTGGTCATAAGCTATACCCAGCAAGAAATGAGACCGAGGGGTACCCCCCCTAACATGTCCAATCCCTATATACATTCCAGACTATTGTTACTTAACACCCCCCCAAGATGTCTGAAAGGAATTCCCCAGATTCCTGCGAGACAATAACCAACACAAAGCAGGGGGGTTCTCTCCGTGTCATACCTTGCTGCGTATGTTATAAGCGCTGGAGAGGATACTGAGAGTGCACTGGGGCAGAACGGCTTGCTTGATGGTGGATCCGCTGGACTAAAAGGCTATTGAGTGTACTCATTGATGTGTGGCAGTGGGGCATTGGGTGTAGCGGGAGGAGAAACTAGGAACCATGGGTATAGATGACCCATTGGTCTGGGAGGATAATATGGAGTGCCAGGTGCTGCTGATGTGGAAGCTAACTTTTTGGGGCACTGTGTCGTGCTTGTACATCTTGATTGCTTCCCTGACGCGTCTTGAGTACCATCTGTTGACCGGAGCGATGAGTTGAGCTGCTTGCCAGTTGATGGCGTGATCCTTCATCAGTGCTTGACAATCGCTGATTCATCGTAGTCACCTCTGGGTCCATGCGCAATGTCTTCTTTGAGTCCGAAGAGCAAGTCCCGACCAGTCTCGCCGATATACACCTTCCCAAATTCGCAGGGGATCATGTAGACACCAGCTTTCGTCTGATGGCGTTGGTTGTCCTTCTTGGGCCTGTAGGATGGCTTGAAGTTTCTTGGCTGCAGTGTGGAATGGTCGGATGTTGGCTTGGTGAAGGATGCGTTGGATCCTGTGGGATGCATTTCCTATGTATGGTAGGGTCACCGTTGCCTTGTACGAGGGTGGTTGACTTTGAGTATAGAAGACCCGACAGTCCGTGATTTCGGGTTCTTGATGATCTTGGCGGTAACGGTTGCTCTTGGGGGCTCTTGGGATGTGCTTGAGTTTTTCTTGGATGTATTCTTGGTCTCAGACTTGTAGGCTCGCTGCACCAGGGCACAGTTGACTGATGACTTGATACTGGGATGATAGAACGATGGGCTGTGTAGGTACCGGTCTGCGTGGGTCGGTTTGCGGTAGGCAGCGTGCCCCACGGAACCATCTGGGTAGCTCACATTGCGCCCTTGAGCTCAGTAAAACCTCAACGGGAGACTCAACATGTTAATCACATTGAGATATTATTTCTGGGCACTTGCAAACCATTTTTATGTGCATTCTGGGTTTTTTCCTGCAGAGTTACTCAAATAAAAGAAAATAACTCTTTAACCGTGTCTAATCCAAGAATTATTCACTCACTATCGCTCGAAAACCTGGAAATAAAGTTATTGAACCTGGATAGAGCGTCTTTGCGAGAAAAAATCCATTGAGTGTATTGATTTATGACATGTCGACTGATTACAAGGATACGATCCATGGACAGCCCATACAGAGGGAGGAGCTATTGTGTCATATCAATGCACGGCGACAAGATGGTGCGCGCTATCCCGTTAGTATATATAGAGAACAGCGAAGAAGGAGAGAGGGTTGAAATAGCCATTGAGCAATAACTTCTACCGTTGCTCGTGTCAATTTTCAGGTGTGGTCGGGAACTGGAAGACCCACTTCACTGTGGCTCAGAACGAGGCGATGGACGCCCACATTGAGGAGAAACTGCGTGGTACTGGGCTCACCTTTGACTACAATTAGCCAATCATCGGACCGGCTGGCCGCAATGCGACTTTTGCAACTTGTCGGCTTTGTAGATTTAAGCACTGGCCTATTCTTAATTATTTTATTTCTCTTGTACACTACTGTAAACAACCCAAAGCGCATACCACAGGAATTCCAAGACCAGTCATTAACCCAGCGGACACATTGATGTTAATAAAACACTTTTTAAAATGTTACGTCCAATGTCACGCTGATATTGTTTGATAATGTTAAAGCGACATGCTCCTGGGGATGTTACATAGATGTTAACAAAGCATTTCAAAAAAATCTTAATGTGACATTTTAACAATGTCATTCTGTCTTGATTGTTAAGTGTCATGTTAAAATCATAACAACGTTGTTGTCAATGTTTGTTCCAGAAACAGCTTTTTGAAACGGGATAGACATGTTATGCCTAATGTTTTCACGATGTTTCACAAAAATTTCATGGTGATATGGTGGCACATCGTTTGGGTAATCTTTTTATGGAAAAATGATATAATTCTCAAAACCCCAAATTAAGCTTTTATTATAGATTAGCCATCGCAGTCGCAATTCACAGAGTTCTGAACCTTTTTCCCTAGTATTCCTTGCAACAAGCAGTCCAACTTAATCCAAACTATTCCTGCAATGACTGTTACCAGTTTCATTAGCAGCATTTCCGTAACTTTGATCTTGAAACTGAAACACGTATTAGTAGATACACCATTGGATCTAATATAGAGAAGTCCCACAGTTCTTACACTTGAGGGCTCCCTATTACAGCCATGCGGTTAAAGGTTATTAAACAGAAATAGAAAACATCTAGTTCAAGTGAAGTATTTCGAAATAACAATAAATACGTAATCATTTCAAAAACATCACCAATCCAATGTTTACCCCATTAATCGTGACCTCAAAAGGAATACAATGATCCTGTGTTTCCCCGCCCATAAAAACCCCTTTTGACCGTTTGCGCTCCCAGGCTGATTTGATGACCGCATCGGCAGAACGCCTACATTTTAATACAGTGTACACGTACATGTATATTGCATGATCGCACACAGTACGTGCAGTATCGCACGCTTGCAACAGACCAAGTTGTGTTCGATGTAGCTTAGCCCATCAACAGTATACACGTTTCTCTGGGACTTGGCCACAGGCCGCCTCGTTTTTTTTTTCCCCTGGCTAAGGGGAAGCCCTGACGTTAAAAGTGACCGTTGAGTGGGACCCAATAAGAATTCTGCCATGGGGAAAGGTCGTGGAAAAACAACCCCTGTCTGTTCTCCCCTTTTGCATGCTTGAAATAGGCTCACACGGACCACAACGGGACGTTTTTACATGCGCTTGGCCAATTGTAAACATTGTGACCGGAATTGTGGCACAAATGTTAGTTCCTCCAACAATTTTCCATTTGGTCTTTGTCACCTTATATCGGAATGAACTATCATTGTACCCAAACAATGCCACTGTATTGCATCTATTATGCATCAGTAGCGAGCTTTGTGCTGTCAACGGGGGCAGCATTGCTTCAGCTGGCTTGCCATTCCAGCTCAGTTTGCGGACCAAAAATACTCCCATGCTCCTTAAGTGGGAAGACGACATCGTATAAACAACTGGATGAAGACATCCAGAAATAATTTAGCATGGGGTGACGACATTGTAAAAGGGTAGACATCACACTTGCTGGATGTCGTCGTCACGGAATAAATTATCTAAGGATATCGTCATCCCACGGAAAATTATCTCAGGATATTAACGTCTTGACTTTCGTATGTCATCATATTGAGAAACAAAATGCCAAGATCTCATCAAGTTGAATGGCACTTCCAGAGCTCCGCATATTTTATCCTGTTGTGCCATAATTTCATGGTAAAGGTCTTTGAGTACCATCATAGGAATTTACTGGGTTAATTTAGAAAATGTGCTATTATTAACTTTTGTGGTATTCTTTACCAAAAATTGGGCTTATACCTACTGTGTGCACGTATGTTCCTACTTTATAGGCCACTTGCTCGTGCTCCTGTACCGTAGGCCTTCATACACACCTAAGTACATACTCATCTAAAGAAAATCTTACATTGCAATTTGGAAAATGCATATTGTTGTTTCAGCTACGTAGTGAATACACAACTCCAAGACGATACTTAAAATGATACACTCCTGTGATATTTAATTTACGGTAGCCCCTCATAAAGTTACCAAACACTCCTACACTGGTGGAATATTTCCGTTCCTCATTCTATGTTAATAAGGGTCATGTGGGCCAAATTTGGCCTTGTAATTGGTCGAACGTCCGTTAAAATTACGTAATATCGACTGGTTAGACGGGCATCACTACTAGCCTTATAGTCTCCAGAGCCATGCAGTTGCGAATACGACCACTTTTAGCCAAATGGCCATACTAAATAAAGATGCGTGGCCTGCACTGAGCGTGACGATAAAAGGGTTTTAAATCCCTCATCTTTGGCTCACGCATTTTTTGAGCCCGTCTTAAATGTACTTTAAAACCGGCTTAGCCTTTTACTCCCTATCTAAAGAAATAAAGATACTAGAGTTTAAAGTTTAAATAGTGGATGATTTTCATAGGCAAAAAAGTACCCATAGCTTTTGCAATGGATGTAATTTAATCAACATCAAACAAAACAACACACAACGAACTTACAACTTAGATCATATATGTTCCTCCGTGGTTTGATAGACTTAGAATACTTGGTTGGACAACTTAATTCACGACTTGTGACTCGGGACTCGGACTGGTGGTTTGTGACTCGAGACTTGGACTCGGACTCGAGGCTTGAGACCCCAGGACTCTGACTCGGACTCGACATTGGTGACTCGACCACAACACTGTGGAAAGTTAAGCGTAGTAAACAAGAGCCAAGGGGAGAAGTACTGTCAAAAAATTTCTGAACATTGTATCCGACACTTAACAAAATGTTTGTCACAGAAACATAGTTGGCTCAAATAAGCTGTGAAATATGAAAGGCTCTCAAGATGGCGATGAACGTTCTTTACAGTTGATTATCTTTACCAGGGTTATTTATGACAATTGATTATTTCCCACATAATTTTTTTTGGGGGGGTGGAACAACAGTGGTTTGGTTTGACTTTTTTTAAGGTGCTTGATCATCTTTAGTTCACTGTAAACTCTTGATTGTTTTTAAAAAAAGGTCAAAAATATATTAAAAACACTACCAGTATTCTACTCACTATTACGTTGTAAAATGAATGGTTTGGATAAGTTAGGGTAGCCTAATTACCGTTAATTCTGAATTCTGAGTTCATCTAATTTCATGATGTACGTTGCCGCAGGATTCGCCATTACACGTGTAAGTTCATTATCCTTAATGACATTGCACTGTCGAAACTAGTCACCGTTTTGACAAATATAAGATCGAGGATGGTGTAACTTAACTTATGGCCGTGTGAATTAGACCTGGGTCACTGTGCAGATTTGCACTGAGCATTTTCCAATCTGTCTCTGTAGATAAACAATATTACCATTTACTAAATCTGAAGCTTAGAACGACCGACACATTAAAAATAGACATCTTAAATGATGGCGCAACACTTTATTTAAGCCCAGAAAAGTTTACAGAGAGAGTTGTGACATCAGTGCATCAGTTGTTGAGACCAAACAGGTGGATTTTGCGTCAGTGCACATGGACAATCATAACACACATTAAATGCATGTTGTACGGCACATACAATGAACAGAAATGTTGGTTCCTAAGTCTGAAGTTGGCACTACTCTCCTTATAGACCTATTCAGCTCTGTTAATTAGGACCATCTACCTCAAGCAGAAGCACCTCCCCCCCTTATCCGATGAAAGAAACCGCGTTGGTCAGGACCAGGAGTGTTCACTTTGTTGTTACCGATTGCAACTGCAACCATAACGTTTCCCAGTCGTTTGTGAACCCAGAGATACTTAGTTAATACCAAAGGAGCTTGCGTTGCTATTAAGGAAAAGCGCCCTCTCGTGGTCCAGATCGAGGTTCATGGAGCGGCAGGCTAACCAGAGAAAGCAGCTAGCCCCCAAGTTACCTTTGCGGACCAATTCCATGATTTGTATGCTTACAAATACTTTGTTTTGTCATGGCAAGTGGACTAAATGTTTTATCGACAGCATCACTTTTTTAATTTAGTGGCATAAGGCTTGAAATGGCGATGGTCCTCATGACTAGTTTGAGTGGTAATGTTCTCTGGAGATCGAGAAATATCTTCACTTCAAACTGAATCATTGGTTAAGCCACTGAAAATTGAAAGGCACATGAAAGTGGAGGAAACGAGCTTTAATTTGAATTTGATCTTGAGCCCCTGAAAAAGTTCAGGTATTTTTCATGATTTTTTGTGAAGTGAAAGTATTTATCATTATTGTCTATTCAGCTTTATCGTTTCATTTTGACTTTGCAGGGGGAAAAACGACATTATGAATTAGATCAGAATATCAGGATCGGGATGCATTTCCAAGAGCCCCGATACATGTATTGTTTTTTTTTTTCTTTACCCGGTTATGCATGTACCATGTACATGTACTATATGTACGTGGACATGCCCCTCTGAATTAGACTGAAACACTGAACTTGAGACAGGGACACGGCGTAATCAAAGATAACACATTCAACCTTATCACGTGCAGTTTCAACATGGTCGTTATCTCATTTCAGTCAGTATTCTACATGTAAGCTTTTACACGTTTATGACCTATAAGACTCTGTAATGGTGAATTTCTCATGTCACGAGCCCTGGATGGATATTTTAAGCTAATAGGTACCAACACTTCTTTTGATTTAGTAATAACATGAAATCGTTGCTTTCAGGTGTTTTGTTCCATCATGCCACCGCCAGGTGGTGCATGAAAATCATCTTCAAGGTCGTGATGGGTTTGTTGTTGGCAAGTCCACCTAAGTATGCAATCTCCACTTTAAGGATGATGACATCAGGAAAACACTAAATGAAATCTGGCGACCTAAGCCTGATTCTGAGCCGAAAGATGTCCTGTGTGACAGTTAATTCCCCCAAAAGCGCCGAGTTCTTCGAAGGTCTTCTGAAGATCCCTGCACTTCAAGTGGTGCAGTTGTTGACCTGCTAAGAAATGATGAAGGACCAGTGAGTGATGATATATCCCTATCTGACAGCCACAGTGGTTGCGATGCTCAGGCCAATGAACTGAGAATGAACACTCCAATGAAGTCTCAGAATTGAATGAAACAGTGCAGAGACTGCAGAGGGCGATAAATTGCCACAATGAAAGAAATGAGCCAAAAACATTCATAAATTCTGTAACAAAACACTGCACTGGATTTCCTAGTTACTCCTTGCTATCGGCCATATTGTCTTTTCTGAATCCTGGGGATTATTGTGAGAATGTTATTGCCAACACTCCAAACAGAGATACTGCACCATCATGTTCTGCTTTACAACGACCTGTAGCCATATACAGATGCAGACCACAGCTTTTCAAGTTCATATAAAACTCTCCACAAGCCTGTGAGTAGCGTATCTTTCAGCTAAAGAACAATTCATTTTGGTTCTCTGTAGGCTGAGGCAGGGCTTTTCCGTAAAACATTTGGCATATATAAGTCAAGTGTCAGCAGACGCTGTGTAACGTGGATTAATTTCATGTATTTAATTGTACTTGGATCCCAAGTAAAGACACCATCTTCAGAACAAACATATACCAGAGTCATTATTGATTGCACAGGTCCCAGATTCTTTGACTTTTCAGAGTAAGTTCTGGTCTAATTATAGGCACCACATCACATACAAGGGCCTTCTTGGCATTGCACCAAGTGATGCAATAACATTCATCAGTCAATTTATCCAGGATCAGTGTCAGATAGAGAAATAGTTATTCGAAGTGGTTTTTCTGGACCCAAAATTGTTTGAAAAAGGTGATGTTGTATTGGCTGACCGTAGCATTACGATTAAGGATTTGCTCAAGCCTGTGAGTGT